AAAAAATTGAAACAAGACAAGAACAGTGTACAGCCTCCGAATTTCCATAAAATATTTTCACATTTAACTTTTCAGTAGCGATATTTCAGGGTTGGTAAATTTCCAAAATTTTATTTCTCACCCCGTTGTCTTTCGCGATGCCTGCTGCCATATCTTGAAAAGTCATTCAGCGACAAGTTCGCAAAACGGATGCTGATTCTGTCTGAAAATTTTTTTCCTTTCAAGCAGGATATAACCGTTGCCCCCACACCCTTCAGAATCTGATTCACTCAATATGGTGCACACAGTAACACATCAAACATTCTACAAATACTCCTCAAATACTTCGCGTTATTTACACTAAGCAACAGCAGCTACAGTTTTTGAAAGCACAAAGCCGAGGGAACTGTACCAGTACCAACGCTTCTAACTGTTGTACCTTTGCAAGATATGGTCACATAATGCCGTCCGGCCAGTGGTGGAATACATGTTATGTTTATTCTGTTGGATTATTTGATAAAAATTTCGCAAGCTGAAGTAATTCTTCGAAAATGAAAGAAATGTTTTCAGGTTATTTTAAGAGGTTGCTACGTTTTCATCAAGCAACTGTGAGAGTCGTACAGCTAAAATCCGTTCGAAACTCGGTGCAATCTGATTGTCTTTTATTCAAGGTTCCCCCGCCGTATTTTCCGAGTAGCATCTCCCAAGTATCAGGCTTCCGTTATGCTTATATTCCTGTAATTTCCTGTGCATATGTGTATAGATGTATATGTGTAAGAAACCTCATCCTTTCAACAATAAATGTTAAGGTAACAGTAGTTATAACATACGATAACCACTCTGTTTGAAGCGTAAACAGCAAAAACAACATAAACAAATTAAAACGAAAGAAACTAAAAAAAGGGAACGATCACTACAGGACAGTCTTTTCTCCTGAAAATTCTTGGGTCAGTGACCGTCTCAGCCGTAGAAAGCGTTCTTACGGCACAATATCTCCACTGAAAAGTGAGACTACATAAAATGAAGAAAAGCTCGATATAAAAGTATGAATTCTAGAGAAACTTAAAACATGGCCAAAGGTAGTTTTAAAATTACACCCTACCCTTCCATCGCTGCTCTTCGTATGTGATTTGATGATACAGGAAAGCTTAGTTGTAGAGACTGTAAGCGATCAAAACTGCAAGACAAAGTTATAGTTAAGAAACGAACAGTAAAGGATACAAGCGCTAACCA